GCCCGTAGAGAGAGACTCCCCGTACGATTCACGTTAGTGAGAGTGTGAAAGAGGGTTGGGGCCTGAAAATAGAAATTGATTAGTAGGCCTACGGTGGTAGGGTGAAAGAAAAGTAGAAAAGTTCAGTTAGAAGAACCTTTATTTGAAAGTACGCAAGAGACCTACACGCCGCTAGGCGGCAAATCTCTGCTGGCTGGTGTTCTAACACTCAGACCTTATATACACTTAGCAAGTCATCTCGACTGCGAGTGAAATAATAACTACGTATTTACTACAGAACAGCGCTCGTAGCGTTAAACAATAAGAACTAAATTGAAAACTTATAAGTAATACACACACACACACACACACACACACACATATATATATATATATATATATATATATATATATATATATCTAACATTATAAATTATAAATAAATTATAAATTATTATAACAATAATATTTATAATTAACAATCAATAAAATTACAATTATTATAATAACAACAATTGTAATTATTAATTAGTTAATCACAATTTATTACAATATAATAATTATTTATAATAAATTATAAGTTATAATTAATATGTATAGATCTAAAAACATTAAACCTCGAACATAACCTTTTTTTTAAACAAATTAACTGAAAACTCCGCTCGGAAAAGTATCCGGCGAGCAGGAGGTTTAAAGAAGTGACGCGTTGACAGCAAAGGGCCTGACGCGTGGAGAGTGGGAGAGAAAAGCGGGAAATAGGAGAGAGGCGCGGCGTGGAGTTTGGTTGGAAAGCGTAGCAGACCCGTTACCAATGACTCGGCCGAGGACAAAAATTCATGAAGAATGATCAATTTTGATTTTCTTCATGAATTCTAGTCACCCCTATCAGTGACATGTATCATACTATTGGCTTTTTGTAAAGTTTAGTATTATAATATCAAATTTTATAAACTAAAGTTTCTCCGTGTACGAAATAAGTGAAATGAAAGATAAAATATGGAGCACTGTTATATCAGGGTTTTCTGTCAAATTTTTATATAATTCATTGAAAAGTGTTTTAGATATGATTTTTTAATAATAAAAAAGCAGTGAAAAAGTATTAATTTATTATTTTAAAGCATTTGAAAGGGTAATAAATAGTGAAATTTAATGTGTTTATAGTGTACTATTTGTGTGTATAGGACAACGTATATCGACAGCAAGTTACAGGTGACATCGGTGAACGCTAGATGGCAACACAGTAAACAATTAATAAGACTTGACAAGAAAAATATTTAACCCAGTGAACGTCGATGATGCATCTAGACACAAATAAAAGACAATGCTAAAGACTTATTGAATATTCTTAAAAAATGTTACTAGGGGGTTTTCGGGGTCGCTAATTACAAATTTGATAACATATTTCCAAAATTCAAAATGGCGGATCCAATATGGCGGATCAAAACAATTAAACAATAATCGAAATTGTTATTATATTCGTAATCAGCAAACCCCAAAAACCCCCGAGTAACAAGCATGTTTTAATTTTTTTCTATTCGTTATATTATATTTGGTATTTTGAATTTTGGAAATCTGATATCAAATTTGAAAACCCCCTAGTAACATTTTTTAAGAATGTTCAATAAGCCTTTAGCATTTTTTTTTATTTGCGTCTAGATGCATCATCGACGTTCACTGGGTTAAATATTTTTCTTGTCAAAGTCTTATTAATTGTTTACTGTGCTGCAATCTAGCGTTCACCGATGTAACCTGTAACTTGCTGTCGATATACGTTGTCCTATACACACAAATAGTACACAATAAACACATTAAATTTCACTATTTATTACCCTTTCAAATGCTTTAAAATAATAAATTAATACTTTTTCACTGCTTTTTTATTATTAAAAAATCATATCTAAAACACTTTTCATTGAATTATATAAAAATTTGACAGAAAACCCTGATATAACAGTGCTCCATATTTTATCTTTTATTTCACTTATTTCGTATTAAATTGATACAAATAAGGTCTTAAATTACTCATGAACACTTTTTCTACAAATACCAATAAATACTTTATTATATTTTATTGTTTAAATAACATTTTTAGTGACCGTTGTGTTCCCAACGGTGTTTCAACGCTATACCGTTCAAATCGCGTTGAACCCATCCGCTAGGGTTATTTTTTTGAAAATTGAACAAGATTCTTTTATAAAATTTGATATTGTTGCACTTTTAATTGCTGAGAATCAATATTTGTGTTTTATTGTCTAAAATGTGTTATTATTGGATATTTTAATACTAAAAAAGCTGTAGGTCTTTTTTATGTCTTCACGGACAGAAATAGATGATACAGGGTACTATCTAGACAGTACCAGGTACCATATTTGATCTTACGTATACGGACAGGTATCCAGATTCTATCAGTTACAATCCACATTGTACGAAGTAACATCTTGATTATAGAGGGTAACATAACCATATTTTTTGTAACATCTTTAATAATACCGAATAGTATTATGATGGTACCGGATAACATCTACTTTTAACCATCTTTAGATCATGAGATCTTACCATCTATTTCTCTCCGTGTTAAATATTTTGTAAAATGTTCATCTGTCGACAACTATTGACAAAATAAGAAAAATATCTAAAGAAAATATAAATTATATCATTTTATTGGAATTTTAAGTGAGAGCTCCCATTACCCCACCTGTGGGGTAATGGGAGAAAATGCATTTTTTTTAGAAAACATTTTTTTTGCAAACTTACTTTTTTTGTTCTTAATTTCTAATTAATTAAAATTAATGATAAATAACAACAATTTGTAAATTCAGATGTTCATTACATGAACATTTTGCTTCCTCTTTACGATCAGCAAAAAAATTTGCTTCCTCGTGGAGAAAGCATTAACATTGAAATAAACATACGAAAATAATATAATAATATAAACATTTGAGTACCTATACATTTGAGTTAAATTTAAAGAATTAATGGAAGTTAAAAAATCAAAAATTCATATTTTAACCGAAATTTCTAAATATTAATGAAAAATAATATATAATTTATAATTATTTACAATTATATCGATTCGTTTTAATGCAAGGAACACAATTATTTTATATTTAAACTTGAATTTAAATAAATGAGAGATTCTTTTTCAATCGCCCCAGCCCAAAAAGTCAATGTTCTGGGATTGGCTTCATACTTTGGTAAATTGTTCTCCTATATGATAGTAATAAATCCCTAAAATATAAACTCATTAAAAAAATATTTGTAGAAAGTAGAGGGGGTTGAAGTTTTGACGTTAAGGGTAACATTGTCATTTTCAAATCCGTATAACTATGACAAAAGTTAATGGATTTTAATTTATCTATAATGAATTTTATTGCATTTTTCACGTACTTTTCAAAAATGTATACGAAATTTAAAAAAAAAATTTTTGACCCCCTTTTTTTCAAAATCAACCCTTATTTTTCGATTTTCACCCCTTCGGGAATTTTTTTTTGTTTTTTTTTTATTTTCATTGGAAAGCTGAGGTTTTTTCCCATGAGCTATGTAAATATGAAAATGGGACAACAATAATTTTGTGAGAAACATAATATTAAATTAGGCGGTGCCTATCTAAATCCTCAAAGATGATCTCCAGGTACACCCCTTATCGGCACCGCCTACTTTAATATTCTGTTACTCACAAAATTATTGTTGTCCCATTTTCATATTTACATAGCTCATGGGAAAAAACCTCAGCTTTCCAATGAAAATAAAAAAAAAAAAAAAAAAATACCCGAAGGGGTGAAAATCGAAAAATAAGGGTTGATTTTGAAAAAAAAGGGGTTAAAAATTTTTTTTTTAAATTTCGTATACATTTTTGAAAAGTACGTGAAAAATGCAATAAAATTCATTATAGATAAATTAAAATCCATTAACTTTTGTCATAGTTATACGGATTTGAAAATGACAATGTTACCCTTAACGTCAAAACTTCAACCCCCTTTACTTTCTACAAATATTTTTTTAATGAGTTTATATTTTAGGGATTTATTACTATCATATAGGAAAACAATTTACCAAAGTATGAAGCCAATCCCAGAACATTGACTTTTTGGGCTGGGGCGATTGAAAAAGAATCTCTCAAATACAATATTTTTCAGTTAAAATGTGTATTTTCTATTTTTTAACTTTCATTAATTTATTAAATTTACCTTAAATGTAAATTTTATATATACCAATCGATTCGTTTTCATGTAAGGAATACAATTATTTCATCTATAAACTTAAATTTAAATAATCACAAAATTTTATAGCCAAAATGTGAATTTTTGATTTTTTAACTTTCATTAATTCTTTAAATTTACCTCAAATGTATACTTTATAGATATCGATCGATTCGTCTTGACGTTAGGAATACGATTTTATTATATATAACCTTAAATTTTTCTATTTAAAAATTTTTTCGATTAAAAAAAAATTTTGGAAAAAAGACGATAAAATTTTTTTTTGGGGTATTTTTTAAAATCCTTTGGTCAGATTTGAGATATTAATATGATAAATGAGCCTACCAAATTTTATCTAAATCCATTAAAACCTGTTAAAGTTATCTTCTAAACAAAAAAGTGATCCACATACACACACACACACACATCGGACAATTGATCAGGATCTCAAATAACATGTTTCTGTATAGAGAAAAATTTGTTCCGACACTTTGAAAATTTTTATAAACGAAAGGACTACAAAGCTTCCTCCACGAGGAAGCAAAAAGAGTAAAAAATGACCAAAACAATATTTTATTATAACAATAAGTTGGTTTTTTTAATCATTGTCCTTAAGGGGCTCCAATTCCACTACCTTCCCCTACAAGTTCAGCTTACTGAACATGTACATTTTCTTGTTTAAGATCTTGTACAGGGATTTTCAATAGGGCAATGTACTATTTCTCTACGACGAAGCAAAAATGTTTCTGATATTATGTACGTAGAATTTTCTTTTGTACAGTTTAATTTGAATTAAATCTAAATTTTATTTTAAAAACTTACCTAAATTCCTCCTGTTTCCGTAGCACCTCTTAAAGGACAGACGAATTTCCAAATCTAAAAAATGATTAAATATACTTACAAGGAGACCTAACTATTGGTCACAGGCTTTGAGAAATGGTATGTATATTTTCATATAGAGGGACCTTAACGTAACACAGTTACGCTATTTTTAGGGGCCAACAGAAAGAGCTTTTTAATTTCAAGTACATCGAGACTTTGAATTTCGCGGAAATAACTCGGAAAACTTGGACAGTCTTCCTGTATGTCAAGACAAATGGTCACATTTCTAACAAATTTGTAGAAACTACAAGGAAAAATCAAGTTTTCGAGTTTTTCTCCTTAAGGGGTTATACTTAGTCAGGATTTTCAAAAAATCAATTTTTTTTGCAGTTTCTTGAAGTATATGTATTTGACTGTTGTGAAAAAATTTTTTATTAAGATTCGAGAAATATTTTCGAAGTTACAGACGTCATTAGCAAGAAGACGCCGTGCGGTGTAGAGCAGGTGAAGTGAACTCCTATACCCAGGTGCGAATTGTCGGTCGGCCCATGGTCGGGCCGACCATGTGCATGGTCGGCCCACCTCGGGCAGCCAGAGGTCGGGCCAACTAGCGAATTGATAACGTCGGCCGACCTATGGTCGACTAAGTTGGACCGACTATGGGTACCATAGTCGGGCCGACCAAGGCTGCCCTAGTTGGGCCGACCATCCTTGCCGACGGTCGGCAGCCATAGTCGGGCCGACCATGGCAGCCATAGTTGGGCCAACCTTGGCTGCCGACCATCCAACTTGACGGTCGGCAGCCATAGTCGGCCCGACTAAGGCAGCCGAGGTCGGCCCAACTATGGCTGCCATGGTCGGCCCGACTATGGCTGCCGACCGTCGGCTATGATAGTCGGCCCAACTATGGCAGCCTTGGTCGGCCCGACTATGGCTGCCGATGGTCGGGCCAACTAGCGAATTGATAACGTCGGCCGACCTATGGTCGACTAAGTCGGGCCAACTATGGGTACCATAGTTGGGCCGACCTTGGCTGCCGACCATCCAACTTGACGGTCGGCAGCCATAGTCGGCCCGACTATGGCTGCCATGGTTGGGCCAACCTTGGCAGCTAAAATTTTGCCGACCATAAACATTAAAATATAAAAATTTGTTATACAAATAACATATATTAGTAATCATTTTAAATTCATTATACATTTATTTTATATACTTAAACACTAAACGCAATCGTAAACATACATATATACAAATTAAAATTTTTAACGCTCGCAGGGATCGAACTCGCAACCTAACGCACCGCAGTCTAATACGCTAACCACTACACTACGCAATGACATATGAGTCACGGAGAAAAATAAATGTTATAAGCTACAGCTTGAAAAAAATTAAAGTTAGTAATTCAAAATAATAAATTAATCACATATAACCTTTTTTCTTTTTAAATTAATCAATTACAAGTAAATTAACAAAAACATTTTACATTTGTCAATGGTAGGAGAGAAATTTACTTTATGATGGTCGGCCCAACTATGGGCCTTGGACGGGCCGACTGTCTCTTCAGAAAATTGAAATAAAAATAAAATGTTAATTATAATAATGAAAAAAAAATTAATCTAAAAATAAAACAATTTAGATAAGAAAATTATTTATATAAAACTTTTAATTTCAAAATAAATAAAAATTATGTAACAATTAAATAAATTTTTATTTTAGATACTTTGAGCTTTTACTAATTGATAGTTTATTCTATTATTATTGATACATGCGGTAAAAAAAAAGTCAATTGGAAATAAATTTTGCGTGTAAATTGTTATGTATTTATATTTTAATAATTAAAAATGGCTTCAGTACAATATAATAATAATAAAAAAATAATAATAAAGTTGGTTGAAAAGTTCTTGGAAAAAAATAACTTAACACATTTCTCCAAACTTTATTACACTTGAGGATTCGCCACTGATGAATTTCTTCCTTTTCGCCCTCCTTCTCGGTCCTTCACATTAGACAACCAAGTACTTAAATCACTCGAAATTTGGTCTTCAGAAGCTTCCATGTCCGAGTCCAGTAAAACATCTGCAATTATTACATTTATTTTTATTTATTTTTAAAACTAATAAATTTTTGAAGATTTATTAACAATTTATTATTATTAATGTATGAAAATTTATTTTTAAGTTTTATAATTTAAAGCGAGTTGAGTTAAAATAACATTTAAAATTTCTGAAAAAATTGTTTTTAGTTTTTAATTTATAATAAATACTTATAAATTTTAAACAAAAAAAAATCCATACAATCTTTTTGTATTTTCTGTACAAGAAAACATATTTTTTAAAATTGTATTTTTAGGGAAAAAAAATATACGCATTTTTGTACATAATTTTTTTTTTTTTTTGGTGGACAAATTTTCGAGTTATGATTTTTTGAAAATTTGATTTTTTGAAAGACTTGAAAAGTGTTGACTGTAGAGTAATTTCGCCAAAAGGAAAAAAGTTTAGTTTTTCTTCGACTTTTGGATAAAATTAACAAAAAAAATTTTTTTTAACTTTTAATAAAAAAATCATAATTTTTTGTGAACAAATTCATTGTTTTTCAATTTGGTCATTTTTTAAATTTCTTTTCTTTATTTCCTAGCTGGGAATGATAAAAATAGTTTGCATATAGTTTGAGAGTGGGTCTAATAAAAATTCTTAATTAAACAATTTGTTTTCTCTTTTTTTCCCATTTTTTAGACATAAACTTTTTTTATCCAATATAACTATTTTTTTCATAAAAAAGCAAAATAATATACATATTGAATAAAAAAATAAAAAAGTAAAATAAAAAAATTATTTAAACAAGAATTTTCATCAGTCCCAATCTCAAACTATATACAAACTATTCTTATAATTTCCAGCTGTAAAAAATAAAGCAAACAAATTGAAAAAAATGAGTTTCTTTATAAAAAATTATAGTTTTTAAATAAAAATAAAAAAATAATTTTTTTCGTTAATTTTATTCAAAAGTCGAAGAAAAACAAAACTTTTTTCTTTTTGATGATTTTTTTCTAAAGTTAAAAATTTTCGAGTTATATACATATTACTGAAAATAGTTCTACTTTCACAAAATAATAACTCCAAATTTGTCAAAAAATAATTAATAAATAAAAAATAATAAAGTACGTATACCTTTTCTTTTCTTAAAAAACAAAGAAAAATGCTTGTCCGAATTTTAAATGTAAACTAAAATCTGACGTGGAATCACCCATATATTGAAAGAATCAATTGTAAAAATAAATAAAATATTACCACGCATTATAGAATAAACGTAGGTATCCTTGAATGATATTTTGTCATTCCCTTTGCCAGCTGCGCTGTACTTTTCTTGAACGGACTTGCTTATTAGCCCGCTGAGTATTTTCATCATTCCTTCTTTTGCGTTTGATGACTGTCTGGCAGAAACGGTCATTATTGTCTTCTAAAAATTTGTAAATAGAACATTTTACATAGTATTGTGTTAAATAGATTGCGTAAATAGAATGTAAGGAAAACGAAGGTGTTAAAAAAGAAATATACTCACAAGGGCCTTTGTTTTTTTCTCATTTTCGGTGATTTCATTATCAAATAATTTAAATGTGTCGACATCAGCAATTGGTAAAACCACTTGTAAAGATTCTAATTGTGCCGTTAAATCCGTTTGTATCTCTTTCTCTGTGTACTTTGCAAGTGTAGACTCAATAAAATCGCATTTTCTATTAACCTGATTTGTAAGAGTTTTTCGGAAATATTTTGCAGTGCTAATGAAACCAGCTGTCATATTTTTAAATAAAGTAGGATAGTCCATTGTGGGGTCGAGTTTCACGTTTAAAACAGTTTCAGTGTCTGTTTTATTTGTCTCTTGTTCGGAATCTTCAATTATAGATACATCACGGTTCGATTCATCATGAAAACTATCTCCAAAATTTTTTGCATTTGGATCCGATTGGGGATTTTTGTTAAAATCGTCGATTTCCTCATTATTACCAGATAGTTCTGCAATTTTTTGAAATTTAATACATCAATTAATTCTTATATTAAGATAGTAGAAAATAATTTCAAGTAAATTATTTATCAAAAGAAATATACCGGTATTTGAAGCTGAATATAATCTTCTGCGTTTCAATACGGGCGATTTTGCGCTGTCAAACGATGTCTGTCGAATTTCAGTCTACGATAAAAAAAATTCAATTTATCATAATATCACATATTTTTGAGACATAACAAAAAGCTAAATTATTCATTCTACTTGAAAAATATGATAATTGAGTTTTATTATTAAATAAATAAAATTTAAATTGCTTATAAAATTTTAAGAACAAACTTTTAACAACTAAAAAAGGTTAACGATTGTAGAGAATGTTTTTCTGAGTAGAATAAGCCCTTGTTTATAAAAATTGGATAAAAATTGCAATTTTTGTCTGAGCCGAAAGAAAAAATTCGAAATGTTTAAAAAATAATTATTTAACAAAAGATTTTAACTAAAAATAATTTTTTTCAAAAAGCGTATGACCAGATATTTGAAAATTGCTTGAAATTGATTTTCATTTCATTTTTGTTTGCGTTAAATACTATTTTTCAGTTTTGAGGTTATGTTATACATTCCAACCTTCTTAAAACAATTGTTTAAAAAGAATCTACTACTTACTGTTACTAATTGCTCATCATTAATTATTGCACTTCCGTTGACACTCATTTTTCAATACTTTTATTAGCTGTTGAAAATCTTAAAACTGTTAAAAAAATGTTAATGTGAAAAACACGTGAAATCAATGCATCAGGTCGATGAGTAAAAGAATACGATATATAAAGTGTGAAGTGATGCACGCAGTTCACAAAAGGAGGAAACTTCAGATTGTCGGTATTACGCGGTAAATTTAAATCAATAAATCTACAATTTGCAGTATGCAGATCAAGTATTTTAATATTAAATACTTGGAACAAATTTAAACTTAATGTCATTGTTATAACGTTTTAAGTAAAAGAGATTTTGGAATTTTAAACAAATAAAAGATTTTTAACTGAGTTTCTAAACTGCTAAGTCTATAGTTTCTGCGATCATCACAAGAGGCGCTTATGTTCAAAAAAATATACTCAGTTCCAAGTCTTTAAATTTTCAGCTTTATGCAATTATCAAACGCTTTTAACCTAAAAGATTTAACTGAAAATTTTCGTTATCTTGTTTTCAATTTTTAAAAAAAGTTGTGATTGTAAAGTGTTTGTTTTTAAAATTAGAGAAAATAAGATGTTTCAGGTAAGTTTTTGAAAGAATTTAAAACATATGTATGTGCAGCATGAAACTTTGTATCAATTAGCATAAAGTTTCTTGTTTAAGACAACTTTCTTCACAATTGTTATTATTATATTGTTAAAGTTAATTTTTAAATTTTAAAAAACAAATAAAATAAATTATTTTTAAAATATTAACTTCAAATATCAATTTAAATAACAGGAGAAAGAATACACACATTGTGTCGTGCGATTTGATGAAGAAACGAATATCGATAACGGGCCTGTGGCTGATCTGATCCCAATCGGTTGGCTGTGCGGTGAAGAAACTACTTGCTCGTATCCCAGAAATGCTGATCATAAAAATTTAATAAAGTGGGTCGAAACTTCAAAAAAACCAAATAAATCTTGGTTGCAGTCACAAAAAATTACAGTCATTAAAAAAACGAGTAAGTAAATCTTGATACTCCCAGTAAAAAAAAATTGAAAAGAATTGAAACGAATTAACGCTTGGGCTAATTCGTAAATGCGTTTATTAAATAAAAATATTATTCAAAACATTAAATTTTTAATTTGCAGCATCTTTCAAAAAAGGATTATCACGCTTAGAGAAATATATGGATACCTTAGATCCTGGAACAACAACTGCATCTGAAATGAGTGGCACTGAAGATTCGTCCGCATCTTTAAGTCAGTGCAAGTCGAACTTGCTCGCGGCAATAGCATCTTCATCTTCTGCAGATGACAAAGATGATAATGGAGGTATTTAAAATAATAAATAATGTTTAATCATGTCATAACAAATTAAAGCCTCCAATTGCACGACTTTTTCTAATATTTCTTTCAAAAATGCGACTGTTTCAACGTATTTTACAAAATGTTTACATTTCTTTTTTTGACAAAATACGTTTTTCTTTAGTACGAAATATTGAGCTTTCCAAAAAACAGGGTTGCCACGCTACCTGGAAACCTAGAAAACCTGGAATTGTCAGGGAATTTTTTTGAACCTTAAAAAACCTGGAAAATTCAGGGAATTAACTTTTGAAACCTGGAAAATGGCAAATTTTTGACGAATTTGAATCAGAAACTGACTTTTTTCTATGAGTTAGTTAAATTTTACCAATGAATTAGTAAAAAAAATTATTTTTTTTAATGGATCAGAAAAATTTAACAAAATGATTTCAGAAATTTTTTACCAAAAAACCTGGAAATATTCCATTTTTTAGCCTGGAAAACCTGGAAAAGTTAGAGAATTTTAGTAACGGAAAAGCGTGGCAACCCTGAAAAAATGAATTAATCTAAAAAATTCTTGGATAAAATTATGCTTAAAAAATTAATTATTTACAATAATTTTAATCAAGTTTTTAAACATTATGTTATTTAAAAAAAAATATTCAAGAGTTCTCTCGTTTACTGTAATATGTCTTACCTTATTTTATGTCAAGTCATTTGAATGAGATTTTAAGGATTTTCTCTTTGAAAAAACCAAATCACCAATCAATTAAAAAAATCATAAAATTTATGTTTAAGTTATACTTTTCAATGTTAAGTTAATTAAAAGTATAAGGTTCGTGTCAAGTCTAATTTGCCACAGTTGAATTTTTAAAAAAAGTTTATTAACGAAGAATTTTTAATTTAAAAATATGTACTTAATCTGGTTGTTTTATAGTCAGGTTTGTTACAAATCAGGTAGATATCAGGGACAAATTTTTTTGTCAAACAAATTTTTAAAATTGAATAAAATTCAAAATATACAAAAAAAATAATTGAAATCAAAAAAATATTACAAAATTTTATAAAGTAAAATATTGATGAAATGAATTTGGAAATATATTTTTAAACTATATAACATTAAAATTTTGTTAAAATTCGTTATCTGTCATAAACAATTTTTGTCATAGAAAATTTTTTATTTAGGGAAATTGAAAAATAGATTTTTGTGACAACCCTCATAATTTAAATTTTTTTATTAGAGAAATTTACCAAAAAAAATAATATATGATAATAATTTTTTTCAATTTCAGAAAAAGGGTCCAGAATCGACAAAACCATACCCATTGTAGACGATTGGGACGAAATTCAGAAAATAATCAGTGCACCTTCTGAAACGAATTCCACAGGCCAAAAAAGAAAGGCGGTTGACGAAAGTGAAGGTAGGCAAAAGTTTTCAAAAACCTACCTATTTAACATTTAAGGAACCGGGAATTTTTTATTACTAAATTGCTACATATCCTGATAATTAATTCGAACTAAGATCTGACGACTTGATTTCTTAAATTATATTTTGAAAATGCTTGCAGATTATTTTGAACCCTTCTTTTTATTTTGACCCACATTTCAATTCTTTTAATTTACAAATTTGTTAGTTGTTTCACTCAATATCCCTAAAACTGAATAAGTGAAAAATCAGTGAAAATCCACTTATTTTAAGTGTCTCTCTTCTCAAGATTTTAATCCGTGAAATGTCATTAGAAATCAGTGAAAAATGACGTTTTAGTCATTTTCCACTAATTGGCTAGTTGGATTAAATTAATTAAATTAATGAAAATTTCAGACATTTTTTAACTCATCAATTAGTGGATAATGACTGAAATTTTAGCCATTTTGCACTGATTTCCAATGAAATTTCACTAATAGAAATCGTGAGAAGAGAGACACTGAAAATCATTGGATTTTTGCTTATTCAGACAAACTAATTTTCTATTATAGATTATAACGTCAAGAAAAATTTGATCAAAATGTACGAGAAAGCGCAAGAAGAATTGAAAAGAACATACAACTCCACAAATTTTGAGGTAACTAAACGTCTTGAACAATGCGAAACAACGTTGCTGATAAACATTGGTCAACCAATGGGAAAAGGAGTAACTAGTGATTTGAAAAGCTTGGAAGTAAAATTACCAATTGTGGAATTACAAGTTTTTGAGAAATTCGATGCTTCGTTAGCAACAAGCAATGAAAATGCAATAGCTTTGGTAAGTTCATGAATTTTTAGAAATTAATGGTAAATACCAATAATTATATAATCTTAAAGTTAGTTCTAGTAACAAGTTTAATAAATTTATTTTCATATGTAGAAAAATGTTATGCAGTCGTATGCTCGAGGAAAAAATACAGTCACATTTGCTATTCGTGCAATATTGTCGGAAGTGATAAGTAAAGATGTGCAAGTGAAATTTTCCGGAAAGGGAAAAGCTCAACCGAAAACGGCATCTAAGAAAGACTTTAGCTCGACGAATACCTATAAATGTATGAGGGGTAAGATTATTTTTATAAATTAGACACATATATATTACTATTATTTGTATAAAATTTTTTTATGAATATGCACTTTCAGAGTTGCAACAGAACCTAGCAAAGTAATCGATTTTTAAATCGATTACTGGAAAACCTAAAAAAATCATGGAACATTAAAATATAACCTGAAATTCCATTATTTTTAATGTTTTTTTTTAATTTTTCTAACTGAAAACTTGAACATTCGTAAAATAATAATTAAATACTTATTTCATGACTAATAGCCGATACTACAAAATAAAAGTTTGCAAGTAGCTGAGAACAAAATTTATTGATTTGTCAGGTTTTTTAAAGTAAAATAGAAGAAATTCCAGAAATTAATAAAAAAAATTCCCTGTTATTGCCAGATTTTTCACGAATTCCAGTTGTAATTTTCACTATTCCATAAAAATGTAAATAAGGTCAAAAATAGTTCGTTTCTTCATGTTCTTATGTTAATATTTTAAAAATATTTTTTCTGTGTATATAATGATGACCATTAACAGGTAATTTTTTCTTGAAAAATGCAAGTTGTCAAAATTGTACTACAAAAAATTTGAAAACATTTTTTTGTGTTAGAATCAAATAAAATAAATTTGTTAGAATTTTAAAAATTATTTCTCTGTTAAAGGAAATGATTTCAGATTAAATTTTTTTTTTTTTGCGACTTTGACACTTTGACTGTAAAAAATAATTATTTATGTCATTGGTTACAAATAATTCTTATTCTTTAAAAAAAAATACCTTTAAAATGAGTCTAAGACCATGAAAAAATGTTTATTATTCAAAAAGTTATTCAAATTTTAATAAAACATTGAAAATATTTATTTAATTATTTATGATACTTTTTTAATATGTATGTAAAGGAAATATTGATAAAATCACTTTTCCAAGTTTTATTCTTCTCATTTATCAATTTTTTTAAAAAAATATCCAAAACATTTTTAGTTCACATAAACTTTATCAATAATTGATAAAATAATTCGATAGTTATAGGCAAAATGTATATGTAAAATTAACCTGCAAAATTTTTAAAATCGATTTGAAAAACCTGGAAAAGTCATGGAATTTCAAAATCAGATTTTTGTGGCAACCCTAACTTTGAGACGAAATGTTTAATTTTTTTTCTGTTAAGTTTTTATGAATTTTTGAAAAAGTAATTTGACATTTTATTTGTCAAAATATGTTTTCATTCTCATTATTTAAGAAAGTATATTGATTTTCTCCCTTAAAAAATATTGACTACTTTGAAAAAAAATAATATAATAAAGAAAAAATTTGTTGTCTTGAAATTAATTATCAGAAATTAATTTTGAAATTTAAATTATAAATAAAAATTAAATAATTGCTTTTATTTCAATTTTTAAAAAATTGTTTCACTTAATGTAGTAATTAAAAAAACTTTGTTAACATGACTTTTTTGTTTATTATTATATGTTTATATTTATAGAGATTATCATGAAACAACTGGGAAGTACTACCAATGAAAAACAGATTGGCGAAAAGACGGGCAAATGGCTTAAAGGAGCTTCGGACAGAGATGGTGGTCGACAAGCTAGATATAAAAAGCTTAATAACGGTCAAGAATCAGAAAATGCTTAAAATCTTTGTTTTTAAAAAGAAAGTTTAATTTTGTTTAAAAGTTGGAATTAAAACTAAAAATTAATTTTAATAAGTTATTAATGTAACGATGCCAAACAAATCGCTAGAAAAAACCATTTTTTAAGATTACTTTTATTTATTTCTTAATAATATAGATTTCACTAATGTCGCATTTAAAAATAGTCGTAAGTCGGTTTGAAAAAATCAAACAAGTTCAGATTTTTTTAAAAAAAACTCTAAACTTTTTTCACTAGAATTTTGAGAATGTTTTTCTTATTACAATGTAAATAAATTATTTTACATGAATGGAACTACTTTTATAACCCTTTTGTAATTTAAGCATGTAACATAGTAACGATGTAGTTTTTTTGTTGAAGTGACATTAAAATACATTTTTTTTTTATTCGACTCATTGATAAAATTTTGAAAGTCTTTTCAGGTGTGTCAAGAATCTCTCCGATTTCAACAATGCCTATTTCTTCCGATTTAACAGGAGAATTAAAAACGTTTTTCGCACGTTTTAGATAAGACCCTTTTACAAAAAAATCTTTTACGTCTAATGTTTCTTTCTTGAGAGATTTAATTTCCGTTATTTGAAAAAACTTACCGTCCTCTAACTGAACAACATTGTTTGGATGTGAAATACCAATTTTGAACGTTTTCAATGTAACTTTTTGGTACGAAATCATGGTTTCATCGCTACAGCTTTGAATTTTTTCTGCATCACTAATTAGAGGAATACGCCTGATTTTTCCGCCGCCACATGCTTCAATTTCAGAAAATCGTCTGTATACTTGTGACACTACCCTGACTGGTGAACGTACTACAGATTTTATTTTTCCCAAGAAGTTTTCGAACGGAAATGCAGAATAATCAGACAACGGAGCTTGCATGAACTTCACATCTTGAGCGGCATGTATCGAGTTGTGGACGTTTATAACTTGAGATGTTTCTCCGTAATGTTTAGGCATTTCTGAGGCGAATTTTCGTGTCATTTCTTCTGCTTCATCCACTCGTTTCACGGCTAATTCTCTATCGTATAAAATTCTACAAGCACAGTGCAGGTTTAGAATGTGTCGATATTTGCTTGGAGAAAAAACTTTTTTAAAAATCAAAGGACCAGCGTACAGTAAAATGAACCTGTACTGTGTAGCCTTCCAATTCGTAAGATTATCCAAGGGAAAAGTTTTCCGCTGAAATTCTTCAGGTACACAAGAAGATAATTCATCTAACAGTTTAGATAGTAATTCTGCATTTCTCCAGTCAAGTTTATACTTTCTTTTTCCGGAAATCAAACTGTCCATGATTGCTTTCATATTTCCATCGCAAAACAAGTGCATACTGTCTAGTAGAACTGCTCTAACTGGATCAAGTTTTTTAATTAGTAAAAGAGGTGATGTTTCACCTGGATGGTGATGTTCTGGTTGCGTTTGGTTCTTGAATGACTTCATAGTTCGTAGCTTGGCATCAATATCCGCGTACACCCGCACTTTGCTTTTAGGATTATGTTTTTTTTTCTGTATAGTCTCTCCTTTGATTTCGCATCTTTCGCATGGATAATAGCCGGTGTGACCCTTGGTACATTTAAGATACGAACGCATAGGTGTGTCACAAGAAAGACCCTTTAATTCAAATTCGTACTTAGTGTTTTCTATTACAATATTCTTTTTGTGATATAATGACGCTTCCTGTACAAAGTCACTCATAAATTCATTAACACTGTTTGGTTTACTTCTTCCACTATGAAGTGCTACAATAAATGGAGGACAGTCGTAGTCAGGGTGCATTATTTGCATTAAAATTGGTGTCAGAACAACGTCTGATTTATTAAACAAAGGAAGGCCGTCAATGTTAACAAGTACATCTATTTTTTTCTCTTTAAAATCTGAATTTTTTAATCTAGTTGTCAATCCTGCCTTTATTCCTATGTAAAGGTACTCTCCAAAATCACCTTTCAGTGACAACATTTTTTGTACACTACCATTTGTTCGTTGCGTTTGTAGCAATGTCTCGGCACATTTAGGAAGTTCCCAATGACCTTCCGATCGTAATATTTTTAAAAGTTCCTCAAGAGCAACATGTGGAATATGTTTAATGTTTTTCGTTGCCCATGTTGCAATTTTGTCTCGAAAATTTGGTTTCCTGTCTATCAAAACAGGATTTTTATTAATAAATTGATCAAGTTCAGTTTCGTCAATCGCAATCGGTTCCGAATTATTTTCTGTTGCATTTTGAAAATTTTCAGTTAAACATTCAGAAAATGTTTCCGATTTATTTTTCATTAAATCTTCATCAATATTAAATGATTCAGAATAAGACACTTCCATTCGACATTCATCAGGTAATCTAAAATAATTAAACACATACAATTTTGATGATTGAAAACATTATCAAAATAAAAAATTGTTAAAATCGCTATTATTTACATTTTTATCAAGGCTTATTAGAATAAATATTAGTGATATACAAAATTGAAATTTAAAAAATATTGTAAGGTAACATAACATAACATTTAATAGCAATAAAAATTGCATTTTTATGAAGTATATTATATCAATGGCAAAACATTTTTGTGGCATAACCTTAAAATTAAACTTATTCTTTTTGTACAAAAATTACCAAATTTATCTAAACATATATTGCGTTATAAAAAACCTAATAGTTATACATACTTGCAATTAATTGCCGTTTCTTCACAAGACGGTAATAAAGTCTTATCTTCATGTTGATTTGATAAATCAACGGATTCGCAAATTTCATTGTTTCTCCTCTTTTCACATTTAGATAGAAATCTATATTTTTGTATCCTCTCATAATTCGATTTCGCTTTAATCATTTTATAAATCAATCGAACTTAACTTTTGACATTCCACTTGTAAGCAAATAATATCTCGCAAGAAAATTTATTGTTGTTTAGCACAACACGACAACAATCGTGTTTCTTTTGAGAAAAATAATTCTGTAATCCTTGATATACCGACCATCGATATACTCGGCTGCCAGTCATGCTGACTACATTCCCCGTAGTCGGCCCAACTGCGGTTTTCAAAGTCATGCCGACCATTCTCCCCCTAGTCGGCCCAACTGTGGCTGCCATAGTTTGGCCGACTATGGGGAAGAATGGTCGGCCCAACTATGGCAGCCAAGGTTGGACCGACCTTGGCTGCCAAGGTCGTACCGACCATTGTCCCCCATGGTCGGCCCAACTATGGCAGCCAAGGTTGGCCCAACTATGGCTGCCAAGGTTGTGCCAACCATTTTCCCCTTAGTCGGCCCAACTGTGGCTGCCATAGTTGGACCGACTATGGGGAAGAATGGTCGGCCCAACTATGGCAGCCACAGTTGGGCCAACCATGGCTGCCAAGGTTGTGCCGACCATTACCCCCATGGTCGGCCCAACTATGGCAGCCATGGTTGGCCCAACTGTGGCTGCCATAGTTGGACCGACCATTACCCCCCCTGGTCGGCCCAACTATGGCAGCCAAGGTTGGCCCAACTATGGCTGCCCAGGTTGTGCCGACCATAATCCCCCATAGTCGGCCCAACTATGGCTGCAATGGTCGGCCCAACTGTGACTGCCGACGTCGGCAGCCATAGTCGGCCCAACTTTGGGTGCAAATATTTACCATGGTCGGCCCAACTCTGGCTGCCGACCGGTCGGCAGCCAGAGTTGGGCCGACCATGGGCCGACGAACCAACTCTGGCGGCCGACCGAAATTCGCACCTGGGTAGAAATCTAATTTTTTTGTCCCGTATATTATATTCTACCTTACAATTTAAGAGACATATTCAAGAGACATTCGTTCCCTTACCTTACAATATCACATATTTATTACATACTTAATGTAAACTGTTTGTGAAGCTTTAAACTCGTTTTTCTCAAAACTACGTTTTTTAAGACGGTGACTACAATATCTGACAAACCGCTGAACCGATTTGGCTCAAATTTTAACACAAGCTCAACAACTACATTTTGTTGTCGTTGATCAAAGATTTTTTAATTAAAATTAAAATTCCTGAGCAGAAATTTTGCCATGGGCCTTGCATAGCACTTTCCAATTACCCATGTTTCTGGCGTGGGCCTGGCAAGGAAAACTGGCTTGGGCCAATTTAAGGGTGTAGTGGTTTGGCGAGGATTTGTCCTACTTAGAGCAAAACTTGCCAGGGCCATGAGAGGTTTTCTGTCAATTACTCTATATTTTGTTGCGCATAAAAATATTCTTCTCAATCAATAATATTTTTGTCAAAGAATTAAAAATTACTGATTTAAAAACATCTGTCATAGAATTTGTTAAAACTGATACAAATGTTACATCTGGCTATATTAACGTATAATTTTTTATCTCATGAATAAGAAAATATGTTCTCAAAAGTAATAATCTTTTGTAAACATTATATGGAGGATTAAATGTTGATTTTGAAAATTCTTCTGAAATTATATCTTTATAACACTCAATTTATCTAAAATACAAAAATCAACATAGAAACCCTCAATATAGTGTTTACTGCATTCCGCTATTGTTTGGGCTAATTGTTAATTAAATAATTTGATTAATAATAAATAGGAATTTTAATATTTTTATATAATAATAGATAAATTTCAAAAATTATAATTAAATAACATTTAATCCCTGGCGGATTGGGTAAACCGAGATGTAACCGAATTGGGTTACGATTCGGTTACGATTCGGTTACGTTTCGGTTCCTTGTAAAATATTGTCGTTAATCGACGAAATATGTTGTAAATAACTATTAGGAATGGTTAATATACATTTAGAGTGCTTATTTATGTAATAATAAGAATAAATTAAGATATAATTACTTCATAATAAGTGTTTAAAGTGTACAGTGCTTACAGTTGTTGAGTTACCATATATGTATATTACCATCAGCGGCAGCTGTGATACGCGCGTTAAACACTAGATGGCGTTGAAGATTACTTTGTGAATGAATTTCTAAAATTAAACCCTTGAGTGTCAAATGTGTAAGTGAATATATGTTTTAAAAAAATAGATCGATTAATTAAAACAACTTTTTTCATTTCTACAAATATAAAGAAAAATTTTTCTCAATAAAAAATTTTTTTTTCTCAATGACATGAGAAAAATTAATTGTGACACAAAAGAAACTTTTTTCCTCAATAAAATAAGAAATATTAATTTTGAAAAAAAA